TGCAGTTTGATGTAAAACAAAAACATATTAGAGTTTTAAGGGTGGGAAAAATAATTAAATGCATTATTGGAAAAAGTTGATCTTTAATATAAATAGCTTTGTTTACCAGCTGGTGCCATTTTATGGTGATCAGATTCCATCTGTAGAATTCTACCTGGTTCTGGGTAAACCATGCTGTTCGCCTCTCAGAAGTGGACTGGGAAAGTGAGACTGAAATACTTCCAAGGTGACTGAGGAAGAACTGGGTTACAGTTTCAGTGTCTGGATGCGCACCTGTCTCAGTGAAGTTGAGAATAAGGGTGCTCACTAATCATAGTATGAATTTCTAAATCCTCCACCTTCCCTTTTATCTTCTCTCGGGTTTGGGACAGCGGTGCTGCTCTGGTCCGCCTGCTCCGTGCACCCCTGCATGGCTGTGCCTTCTTACCGTGACTCCCGCGATGATTTGTACTATGTGTATCTGTGTATATGTAAGCCACAAAGTTTGAGCTACTTGGATGCAGGGATCCTCTCCTGTTTTGATTTTGCCAGTACTTGGCGCCGTTTCCTGCATACTGGGGTCCTCCAAAAATGCTGAATTGAATGTTATGAAACTGAATTCTAAAATCAGAAATTTAGGGCAACATTATGCTTTTACTGCTGCAATGGCATCCTGACTTCTTCTCTCACATCTACTCCCTTCTTCCTAATGTTAGTCCAATCACAATGATTATTTTTAAAAAAGATATATCTGATCATATCACACCTTCCTTAATGCTTGTTGGTTCCTGAGCCTGACGGCTGCCTGTGTCTCCCAGCTTCTCTCCCACCACATTGGCCTCAACCCTTGGCTCACCAGTTGACTGTGCCAAGAATGTCTGTCCATATCACCCCATCCCAGCCCTCAGCCCTCTCTTCCCCTCTGTTAAATCTTCCTCCACTTGATCTGTTACCCCTGGCATATATCCTTAAAAGGTATCTCCCCCTCTCAGAATAGCTGTCACTGTTCAACATTTATACACAGTTGTCTTATTTGGTTAATATTTGTCCAGGCCATTTAATTGTAAGCTCCATGAGGAAGTATATTACGCCCACTTCTGTGTGCAGCACTGTGTCAGAACACCGAACGCATACAGTAAATGAGTGGCACGTACTTGTCAGATGGAGATAGAAATTCACGAACAACCAGCACAATGTAAGTACACGCCCAGACTTCAACCAGGTCTAAATATTTTCTCCTGTCTCCCCTCAGAAGTATAGTCCATGTGACAGGAAAGACGTATGATAAAAGCTCCTAAAGTATGCAATCTTGTGCTTACTTAGGCAGAAAATGCTCTTTTGAACGCAGGGATTATCTCCATAGCTCCTAAGGAGCAGTTAAGACTTGTTCTACATAAAGGTTAAAATTTATTTTTTATACATGCTCAAGTAGTTAGAAATTAAGATTCTCCCAAGTCATTGGCATGTTAAATTGTCTAACCTTCTAAAACACTTGACATTTTTTCTCAGCTTCAGGCAAGGTTGGGAACTAAGACAAACTCCATAAGGTATGACTCTCCCTACTGGGTATTGTCCCTGTGGGCTGACACACCCATGGTGCTCACAGGTTCCACTGTAATCGAGGGTCAGAAGGCAGGTAGATTGGTAGTGTGAAAATACATGCACAGTGGAGTATAAGAAATACTTGTGAGAGATACATACATATATGACAAGAGTCATTGTAATTATATGAAGGACAGAGAATGGAGAATTTTGAAATGTTCTGCCATCTGAGACACTGACTTCAGTAAACAGAGCATCTAATTCAACCATAATTCTTACCTTCTTCACACCCTCTTTCGTTCTTTATGCACATTCACTTTTTCCATCCTTTTGAACTCCATTGGACACTTGCTCCCCTCAGTCTTTCTCTCCACTATGTCGGTTCTCATTTTCACCTCCCTCCACCCATCCACCCATCACAGTTCTTTCTGACACTCATCTCTCCATTCTGTGTCTTACTTGGCTTGACTTCTTAAGAAGAAGCCATTCTTGGTCTGATTTCTGTTGCAGTTACTTTTATTTCCGACGACTATGTTGTTGTTGGTTTTTTTGCCCCCCCTGGTTTCAACATTAGCATCTTGCTTCCTGTATTTGTCCCTCACGCTGGTTTTCCTTTGGGGGAATATTTTAAAAGAAAATCCCAACAATCATGTAATTTCAGCCTTAAAAGCTTCAGCCTGTACTTTAACAGATAACACACACTCTTAGTCTACAACAGTACCCTACCTTCACTGCCTTTCTTTCCTCCCAAGTCATTTTATTTATTTATTTATTTTTACATTTTAAATCAATTGTACTTCAATTAAAAAGCAAACAAACAAACAAACAACCCATTTAAAATATGGGCAGAAGAACTGAACAGACATTTTTCCCTTTTTCCAAAGGAGGGAATGCAGATGGCCAAATGGCACAGGCAAAGCTGCTCCACATCACCAATATCAGGGAAACGCAAAGCAAAATCACAGTGAGACACCATCTCACACCTGTCAGAATGGCCACCATCAAAAAGAACACAGATAGTAAATGTTGGCAAGGATGTGGAGAAAAGGGAACCCTTGTACACTGTTAGTGGGAATGTAAACTGGTGCAGCCACTATGGAAAACAATATGAAGGTTTCTCAAAAACCCAAAAACAGAACCACCACATGGCCAAACAACTCCATTCCTGGGCATATACTGAAGAAAAACAAAAACATTAATTCAAAAAGATACATACACACCAGTATTAACAGCAGCACTATTTACAATCACCAAGACATGGAAGCATCCTAAATGCACATCAGTAGATGACTGGATAAAGATGTAGCACATACATGCAATGGAATACAACTCACCCATAAAAAGGATGTTTTGCCATTTGCAGCCCTTCATTCCCCCCTTTTTTTTGCACTTCAAAAACCAGAATTTTATAACTGGCATAAATATTTTCATTGCATCAAAAACAACAAAATACCTAGAAATAAACCCAACCAAGGACGTTACCTATACTCCGAAAACTGTACAACATTGATGAAAGAAACTGAAGTGATACAAAGAAATGAAGGTATCTTATGCTCTTGGATTGGAAGAATCAACATTATCAAAATAGCCACACTACCCAAAGCAACCTACAGATCCAGTGCAACGCCTGTCAAAATACCCACAGAGCTAGAACAATTCCAAAATTTATATGGAACCATAAAAGACCCCAAATTGCCAAAGCAATCTTTTGTAGGTCTTTTTTTCTTCTTTCTTCTTTTTGTTCATTTTTCTTGTAGTCTGATGACTAGAGAAGTTTCTTTAACATTTGTTGTGAAGCTGGTTTGGTGGTGCTGAATTCTTTTAGCTTTTGGTTGTGAAGCTTTTGATTTCCAGCTCACTGATCCATTCTTCTGCCTCATTTAGTCTATTCTTGGTGGCTTCTAATGTGTTATTCATTTCAGTAACTTATTCCACTCTGTTTGGGTATTCTTTATATTTTTCAACTCTTTGCTAAAAAATTCTCTTTGTGCATCTATACTCTGAGTTCTCATCTCCATCACTGTCACTCTAAATTCTTTCTCAGATAAATTGCCTATCTCCTCATCGCTTATTTCTTCTTCTGGGATTTTATCTGGTGCCTTGGCCCGGAAGATATTCTTCTCTTGCCTCATATTGTCTGTCTTTCCATTTGTATTTTTAGGTAGGTTAGTTACATTTCTCAGCCTTGGAGAAGTGGCCCTCTGTGGGAGACGTCCTGTGTGTGCTAGCAGTACACTCCTCTCTTGTCACCCGAGGGCCAGGGTCTAGCAGTCCCAGGGAAGAGTCTGGCCTGTGTTTGCGGAATCCTTCCACCAGTTTTGGGACTGTTCTTTTCGTATTTCTGGTATCTGTCCCTGGTGGATGAGGCTGGACTAAAGGCTTAGCAGGTTTCCTGGCAGGAAGAGTCGGCACCTGCCCACTGCAGTATTTGCACACAACCAATGCGTATCATCCCCTGTATCATGTCTAGATTACTCTTAATACCTAATACAATGTAAAAGCTACAATAAATAGTTGTACATATAACATAAATGCCATGTAAATAGTTACCTGTGTGTAGCAAATTCAAGTTTTGCTTTTTAGAACTTAACTGGATTTTTTTTTTTTAATAAATATTTTCAGTCTGAGGTTGGTTGAAACCTTGGGTCTGGAAACCTCAGATACAGAGGGCTGACTATACTTACTAAAACAGCAGAAACGGTATATTCACTTTGTTTAAAGAGTAGCCAGTGTAGTTGTTCTCTTGTGCTTTCCAGTGCGATTGTGGGCTTTATTATTTATTAATTTTGATATAGAAAGAAATATTCCCAATGTTAAAGGGATGATTGATTTCTTAAATCTGTCTTTGGGAAACACGAAACTCTCATGAACTGTATTTTCTCTCTGGGTCTGATACATAAAAAGGAAGTTCAATGTTTCATACTGAAAGTGGGACTCTATCCTGGAGAAGCTTTTAATGTGTGTCTGTGGTCTGACGTGATGGATTTTATTTAACAGCCAAGGTTTATAGACAAATATCAGGCATTGCTTCAAAGAACCTGACCAATTCATTTCTGAAATTGCAGTTGTTAAATTAGACCCAAAACATTTATGAATGTCACTTTGCCCTTCCAGCAATTAAGAAGTTCAAAAAAAATCCCTTTGTGTCTTGTGGCTTTGAAATTATTATGTTTATCTTCAACTGGCCTTTGAGTTGGCTCTATCACATGCTTTGGAGGTCACATTAAAGAGGGAGACATCAATTCTGAGCAAGTGTGGGAAAGGGTTTCTTGATGTATAAAAGGGCTCTATTTTAAAGGTGTTTTAGTAGTTTTAGCACATCTACTGCTGTGTCTTTTCTGTAAGTAGGCAGCCCATTCATTTCCCTTTAAAGAGCAGAAAAATCTGAAGTCAACATCAGAGGCTTCATTACACCAGGATGCAGCATGGTTGGTCGGTGAGTTGACTGAAATTTTCCCTTTGCCGTCTCCTCGTTTCAGTGCTCGTCCTCCTGATCGTCACGATGCGAAGACGGAAAAAAGAGCCCCTCATTTTCGACGAGGAACGAGATATCAGAGAAAACATCGTCAGATACGATGATGAGGGTGGGGGCGAGGAGGACACGGAGGCTTTTGACATGGCCGCGCTCAGAAACCTCAACGTCATCAGAGACACCAAGACCCGGAGGGACGTGACTCCAGAAATTCAGTTCTTGAGTCGACCGACGTTTAAAAGCATCCCAGATAATGTCATCTTTCGGGAATTTATTTGGGAACGACTGAAAGAGGCTGATGTCGACCCCTGCGCACCCCCCTATGATTCCTTGCAGACATACGCGTTTGAAGGAAACGGCTCAGTGGCTGAATCGCTCAGCTCCTTAGATTCCATCAGCTCAAACTCTGATCAGAATTACGACTACCTTAGTGACTGGGGGCCTCGTTTTAAACGACTCGCAGACATGTATGGGACCGGCCAGGAGAGTTTGTACTCATAGCCCGGAACCTTCATTGGAAATGTACTGAAGAAAAAGTAAAAGCAAAAAAAAACAAAAACAAAAAAAACTACAACCCCAACACTACACACAGAAAATAAGGACTCCACTTGCTAGAGAAAATGGTTGTAAATATTTCCCCATTTTTAACTGTTTAGGTTTCTGCCTTGGTGAAGCGTATCTTCATTAGATTTATCCAAGGGAATGCACTGACCACAGCCTCTGAGCATTTGAAGGCTTTTTGATAAAAAGAAATGCTCAGTGGTTTGTGAATAGATAGCAACTCTCAGATACCTGCAAAGGCACCTAAGTTGTATGAGTAAGGAGAGCCCTGTGTCGTCAGTGACCCCAGGATGTCCTGTGCACACCTTCATGGTACTGGCAGTAAGAGGAAGGAAAACATGATGTGCCCTTGAAAAGTCCTGGAACTTCCTGCATATCAAAACGTGGGATAAATTTAATTTACAGTGATGCTTTTAGCTTGCTAGATTATAGAATCCAGCAGAATTTAACTGCTGTTGGGTTAGCAAATATATTTTATTTAGCAATATAAAAGTTTTTAGGAAATCCTCCCCAATCCTCCAATACAAGCCAGTAAAATCTGGTTTAAGGCAACATAAACCGTTGTTTAGCAAATAAATTCTGAAATGTTCCAAATACGAAAGAGGTCAATCATTCTTAACGTTTGCAGCCGTTTTGAGATGCTTGTGTAGGTATGAAAAAAAGTTGCTGTCTATTCGTTGATTTTTATTATCTCTTCTGATTTGTACAGGAGAATATCTTTTCCTTTTTTTTTTTTTTTATTTGACACATGGTGTTCTATTTATTTTGGAGCTCCAGTCTCCACTAAATTCAGGTCCCTCTTACTGCCTGATGATATTACGCTCATTAGACATGCTGATTTTTCTCCAGTCTGAGCTACACGAAGGAAATGAAGCATAGAAATGGGAAGGAAAAAAAAAAATAGTGGAGCGGTTGAGCCCTGTTGCTGCTCACATCTCCAAGAGGAGCACCGCCCCAGGGGCGCAGAAGTTGTCTCTGCCATTAGAACTCACAAAACACTGGAATAAAATATTTGTATTTTAGAAGGAAGATTTCAGAGAAAATTGAGATTTTTCTTCGATGCGAGATTTATTTTTCAGGGTCACAAGTTGTCTATGCTCCAAAGACTTTGAAGAGTTTATTGCCGTTCCCCCCCCACCCCACCCCCCGCGCCTCTTCTGTTACAATATTACGTAAAGGACTGATTTTTTAAAATATATCTTAAGCAACATCATGTCATAAATTTCAAAATCCATCTTTAAATTCTGATGGAAGTATGTTCCTCAAGAATGAATCAAGCAATGTATAATTTCCATACCGGTTTAGATGTGCCAAAGGTAAGGAGAGAAATTTCAACTGATCACATGGGTTTAAGTTTGAGGAAAAGAAGAATTTTATGACTAAAATAATATTTCTACCTAACATTTTTTCCTAGATGAATACAAATTTAATGTGAATATATTCAAGTCTAAGAATGAATTTAGTTTTTTTCTTTCTTTTCTCCTTTTTAAACAGATTTATTGTTGGGTTCCTAGTAAATCTACAGATCATGGACACTGTACAGGAAATTGTGCCCTGAAAGTACTTCTTTATGAAAGACAAACACTAGAAGCAGAATATCAATATTTTGACTCCATGAGGAGAAACTCTGTAGGATTCTGTAAAAATCGCAGCCCCCTCCCCCACTTTAGAAATGAAGTATGTGAAATTGGCCTTCAGCTTCTAAAAATAAGTAACTCCATAAACCCAGTTACCTGCGCTAAGAGTCCTTTGGTTTGAGTAAAGTTTCACAGACCCTGTTTCATGACTAGATAGAGATGCTTCTTGCCATATTAATATGCATATACATGAAAAACCAATTTTGTAACAGTAGATCCTGTTCATGACTTTTAGTCATATATGAAAGTTTTTCAGATTAAAAAAGGAAAGCAGAGTACGCTTACCCAGTTTTAAAAAATCAGCGTGAGGTGCAGGAATTACATAGGGGTTAAATCAGCAAGGTGCTGAGGATAGTTTTGCCATCATCCATCCCCTTGTCTGCAAGAAGATAAAATAGTACGTTGGGATTATGATGTCAAAACTGCTGATTGTTGCACATGTCACTAAATGGAAGTTTGAATGTACTTTAGAAAAGGAACATCTCATCAGTCACCTTGCTTTCTCTCCTTTCAAAGTATCTTTTTTTTTTAATTCGTATTTGCTAGTAATAGATTGGGAGGAAAGGCTCATATTTAAATAAAGATTTGAAATTCTTGCATATACTCAATTGCTATTTTACGTGTGGAAGATTATAACAATATAGTATGGAACTTGATTCAATGGTATTTAAAAAAAAAAAAATCTTGAGATGGCTGGAAGAAAGTCCCTAATCTTGATGGGATTTCTATGAAGCACTCTAGCTAATCTCAATTGTAAATGGTGGTGAATTTGTTGTTATTTTAAGTTTTCTTTTTTCTTCTGAAATCTAAGGCTGTGTATGTTTATCTGACCTAATACTTGAGAAAGAGGTCCTGTTGTAAATCCAGAGACTGGAACGGTTCATCAATAAAAATCAATGTTAAAGCCAGCTGGGAGATTCTCCAAAAGCATTTAAATAGATACCTGTCATCAAGTCACTATAATTCAGGGTGTGCTGGAACCAAATCCCAGGAAGCAATTATGCACATCTTTTCCCATCTCTTCCATTTTGATAGTTCAGCCATGGTGGTAATTTTTAGACCACCGTGGAAATCAGCACACACTACCTTTTTTTTCCCCACCCTGGAGAACCAGTTGTTAAATGTTTACCAATACTTCTCTGCTTAAATTACTTTATAAAAGGAAACCACATGATTGTAAATACAGTGTGAATGAATAGGATTATCAAATAATGGCATAAAAGGAATTTATGCTTTATTGTACTACTAAATACGGGTACGTGTGGTAGGGATTTCCTGGTATCAAATCCTTGGAGCTACGGATAGAAAGGAGAGGAGCCTTTGTTATGGGAAGGAGTAGCTTAATAAATTCAAGTGCAGGCATCCGTTCAGGAAGTCAATAAATTTTAAGTATTTTCCATTTGTCCACATGGACATTAGAAATGCATATTTTGAACAATTTAAATTCTTACATTTGCATTTTATTTGTTACTATCTGTGTCAAGGAAATATGTGAACTGCTATCCTTAAATAATTTTAAGCCAGCATAACGAATATGAAAACTAAATCTTATCAAGGAAGTGGACTTTTGGAGATCAAGCCTAAATTATGATTCTGGATACACAATACAGTGTCTGCGTCAAAGCGTTATTCCAAGGGCAGCTGCAGACTACAATCAGAAAGGAGACAAGAAGAAAAGATGCTCTGTGGAGACATTGAGTAGATCTTTCTACAGGCGATAACTACATGACCCTGACGGAGTTCTGCCTTTGACGGGAAGCTCTGCAGCCTTGATGTGAGGCAGGCGGGAGTTGTGGGTGGGTGACTCCTGGACACAAGCACGAAGTACTAGTGTTGAGGTGATGATAGCTGCCTTCTCAGTCCTCCGAGATGTTTTAAGTTATTTTCAATTACACTGACTATTCTGGAAGACGAGCAGGCTTTGGCAGTTACTCTCATGTCAACGGTGTGGTTATACAGCATAGGGGTGATATTTGGGTGATGGCCCACATGCCCAAAGAAACTTGTAAGCAGGTAGACAGCATAATATTCAAATATGAAATCTAGAAGAGCTTAAAATAAGTCAAATGTATTTCAAGAGGCAAAATGCATCTTGTTGGAATATTTTAAAGCTTCTGAACACTAGATATTAATCTTAAAATTTTCCATTTTAATTTGACATCTACGGACTTAACAAACTGTTTTAATTACCTAATTATTTCTAAATCACGATTTGAAGGTTTATTTACAGTTGATCTAATTAAAGCTGATTAACAGAAAGCTTCAACTTACTCATAACTTTCTGGTCAGGGATGGCTGGGGGCACGAGGGATGGACAGGACAGTTAATAGATAAGGAGATTCAGTTTCTATTAGTCTGTGTAGTTCATTTGATCTTAAGTATACTTGAGTCAGTTATTTTAAAGTCATTAATACATATCGTGCGTCTCTGCCACGCTATATGGAAGTTTGGCAGGGAAAGCTAACACAGTAATGCTAGCTGAATAATCGTCATTGTAATCAAAAGAGCAAGTCAGGAGTAACAGCATTTACACTTTGAGTGTAATTGAAATTGTTTCAGAGGAATGGGATTCGCCTTTAAGAAAAATGGGAGTTATCTGAGGCTGTGATTTGGCAGGCCCTGCAAAGTATAATTCCAGGAGTAATTTTTCAAGCAAAAACAAGACAGCCAGCATGTGTGACACTGTGACACTTTTTCATTGTTATGCCAACTTGTACTGGCTCAGAGTTTAACTGAAAAGAACAGGTGTGTATATGTGTGTGCGAGAGAGACCGGGGGCCATAGGGATGGACGTATGTCTGAAGCAACCTTAAAAAAACAGTCTAATATTTCCTAGTTAATGCCAGCATATTACTGTGATTGAGCAAGTGCCTATTAGGGCATAAGACTAGAAAATCTGATCAACTGAAGGGAGCAATATTTTATTTGCTTTAAATATCTAAATTAGGAGAAGGATTTTGGTGCTACGGGGGAGAGTTAGCTGAACCACCTGGATAACTGCCTCATCTTCCTTTTACTGCATAGATGCCATCTCACTGCTGACACAGGACATGGGGTGTGAATTACTACGGAAGGTCACCGGGCGTTGGCCTTGGGAGTGTGTCTGTGGTGCCCTAGGAAGCTCCCCTTGTCTGTGGTTATGAAATCTGGGTCAGAAGCCAGATCCAGCACATTTTTGCTTTGCCATGAATGCCATTCTAATTCTCTGAACCTCTATATCTTCATGATTAAAATTGAGTTAATTACTATCCTGTCTGTTTTAAAGGCTTGTGAGATGATGGAGTGAAAATGCTGTGTGAACTGGAAACCACTGTAAAAATGTAAGGCATTATTATGGAAAATTATGGAAATTATGTAATAAGGTTGATTATATTTATTGTTAAGTGGTGAACACTGATTTCTGTTTTTGGAAATATGCATTAAGGGGGAAAAACATGCAATTAGTATCCTAAATGGGGAAAGAGCACTCAAAGAGACAACTGGCATAATTAATTGGAGCCACTTCTCAAAAAGTCTACTCAAAAACAGACCTTATAAAATGTCTTTAAAGATTAGGACCCAACTCAAACTAATTCAGTCATTAATAAGAATTAAGGATATCAGCATGAGCAAGGGATTACAAGTAATATTTTTTTCCACTCACAAGGATGAGGACTAAGTGGAATCTGATCCCAGCCTCATTACAGATGACAGAAACACCGGAATAGAGAAAGATTATTCCAAGAGAATAATGCACGTAAGTTAGGTGATCTTCCAGACGTCCAGAGGAAATAGTGAGGTTCTTGAGAATTCAGTAATGTTTGCCAGTCATGAGTGGCATATGTGTAATTAATAATTTATACACTTCAAAGAATTAAAGTTCAATAATATTGACTTAACACGAAAACCATCCTGTACTCGCATTTGGATGACTTGAAAGCACGTTCAATATCTTCCAGAGGCTTATTTTAGCCTTTTATAAATGAAGAAGCGATCAGAGATTAAAAAATAATATTCACAAGGTACTATGGCTTTGTCGGCGACAGTCTGCTCATAAAATGAGTATTAAGAAGCCTTCTACTTCAGGTGTTGGTTATCTGGTTAGTCAAAGCTCATATGAACAAGCATTATGAACAAACACATTAACAGCCATGTAACTACTGAGAATGTTGGTATGGCATACACTCAAAATTTACTCTCACGTTTTCATTGTATTCATTAATGAAATTATGCTGCTAACGGCATATATTTTTATCAGCAGGGAAAATTGTATGATTCCCTACCTTACTGCTACAGGCTATATTTTTTTATGAATATAAACACTTTTTTGTGTGTCAAGATCTGAAATATGTAGCATATTGAATATGACCAATACTTCAAAAGTAACCAGATTTTTAAAACTAACTAAATAAAATAGCAGTTGCATTTTACCTATAATAATTTTAAAGGTAAAAAAATGGAACGAGAACTCAATATACAAATTTAACATATATTAGGCTTCAGATTGCCTTTATGCATATATATAATGTTGAGTGTACACACGTACATATCACACAGAGACACAAAATCTGATGCTAAATGTTACAGTGAAGCAAATGGCTTTTAACATTTTGTTTTGATTTTTTAAGATAATTATGACAATCAGATCTAACCTCTACAATTCAATTATGTGGGCATGCTGGAAAAATTGCTGCACATTTGTAAAGCTGTTCATTATTGCAGATATCAGAATCTCTTTCTCAAAATGTCAAGGAATGAGCAATTCACAGACGTGAAATATGCAGCATAACTTTCAATGAAACAACCAGTGCCTATTTTTGAAGCTCTATTAGTTATGTTAAAATAATCCGTTTTTCTGCAATGTTTCTGCTTATATGAGTCACTTGAATAAATGGATACAAAAGAGTTTCAAAAATGCTAATTCAATTGACCACAAAATCAACCCTGAACATCCAGTTCCACTTGGCCTTGGAAATGACACATGAAGTACCATCTGGAGGTCGGAATCTACGTCAGGACCTGACGAGACTGTTTTTGTTCGGCTCAAGCACTCCCTCTCGGGCAGACAGTCTCCTAGAGTATTAAGTAGTTGAGTTATTTTTTTTCAGCCGACATAGGAAATAAAGTACTGTTTCAGAACTCCACTAGTGTGTACAGTAAACAGGACCCAAGTCAGAAAACCAGGCAGTATTAACAAAGGTGCTCAGTTTTTTGCCACGTTTTCTTGATGTGTGCTTTGCTGTGTTTATAAGATGAAAAAACACTGTTGCAGATTAAGTGCTTATAGAAAAAACAATTTCCCAAATTCCTGATAACTCAAAAGACCTGAGCTACCGTGTCTACTTCTATAGTCTTCACTCTCAGCTGGGATGGTAAACGCCAACTTGGCTTCCAGTTTCTACCTTCTGACCACTTGGTACAGAAAATGAGTCCTATTGTAATTAAACTTGGATGTTTTCTTCTGAGTGATTGATTTTTATACAAAATTATCTTTAAATGTTCCATAGATACGTCATTTTAAGTTTCTGAGCAATCTAAAGCAATATGTGATTTCAAGTTTCTTACAGACCTGTGAATTGCCCAAAAAAGGCAATGTTACACTTTTTTTTTAATGGAGAAAAACTGAAGCCCAGAATAATTGTAACTTATCGAAGGAAACGTGAAATAACTGGTAGAGGTGAAAGAGGAAAAAAAAAACCTTCAGATATTTTGCCCATTATATATTCTATTTATTGCAGAGATTCAAAAAAACTGCTTTTCCAATTTGGAAGGATAAGAACAGAGTTGAAACTCATTTCAAAGTCAGAGTCTCCAATCTTACTTAATTAGCCTTCAGTTTCTTTACAAAGAGTTGAGACTTCTTTATTCTTAAAAAATATA